AACGGAATTTTTACCAGGGTTGTGTTATTTTAACATCGAAATGTCGTCAGAAATGCCATTTTGACGTCAAAATGACGACGAGTTACGTCAGCTGGCTACCTGGACAATTAAATATGTGTGTGTTTATGTGTGCACTTTACATGTACTTAAATTATTCGATATTATATCTACAATGTACCTGACAGCAGCAAATAAACTGCATGCATGAGCAGTGCACGCGACATGCATTGCATCAAGGCCCAACACGGTGAGTGTAACTACCACAATTATAGCACTAGTATAACAAAAAATTAGTAGAAAATGGTCCTCTTTATTCATCCTGATTTCGTTGATTTCGACCGCAAAAGATCGCGGACGTGGTTCGTTAAGAGGCATTACGATATCAAGCAGTAATGGTATTAATGGGATTAGTATTAATATTACTATTATGCTACACATCACCTCTGCAATATTCCATAAAAGCATATTCAATAATATTAATCAAACATATTTATATGTCATTATTTAACTTCTCTTTCGACAATCTCTTATCAAACGCTGTTTAGAACACTTTATTAAACACCTTTTTTTTCTTAAATAATTTGTGTCAATTTCAACATTGTAAATATCACTGCAGCTTATATAACTCCGACTTCTTTTAGGTAATAAAAATTTTAATCATAATACTCTATCCTGTCAGCATGCGACACTACGTTCAACATTATTGTTGCAACGTAACGTACTTACTTGAGTAATATTTCACAAATTTTCGTGATACCATAGAATAATCTTTCATGATTCGAACCTCCACATCATCCGTAAATATGTTCCAATGCTCGTCAATAGCTTGGTACAACCATCGCAACTGATCACAACAAACATGGAAACAATTTAACATGTTAGGTCTGAAAAGAGTTATACCGCAGTAAACATAACTTAAAAGAAAAAGTGAATGTAACACGCTATAGTAAAACCTTACCTTGTCGCGATTCCAAAACTCATTCGCTTGCCTTCCGACCATACCAAGCGACACCGCCATTTGTAAGATGCAATCAAAAATTATTTGTGGATTATTCCAATAATCGTGCAACATCGTTATCTACATGTCGTATCATCATTCGTAAAATATGTTACAATATATAAGCATGTATACGATTACACAAATGCTGACTATTTTACTTTTGTGTGTACGTTTAATCAGTTTATTAATCGTTCTATGAAATATTATAAATTTTTCATGAGAGAAACGTTCAGGCATGCAAAATTCGCCAGATTCGATGTAGAATACATTGTGTTAATAAACATTAAAAAAAAAGATTAAAAATTATAAACATAAATTAGACGTATTTCTTCGATGTAAAATATGATTCATTCGTGTGTTACCTCGAAAAAAATATAACTCATGTTGAGCAGAAAGCAGAAAGTTTGTAAGAAGTTTCTCACGAATTTTGTTTGAAACGGCCAAAAGCCTATGATCGACAGATATACCCGATTGACATTATATTCTCGCTGAAAATTCTCTAACATATTTATTCGTCTTGTTTCCCCATTGAAAAACTACGACAATATGACGCTTGCTATGTGTATTATTGATTTCTCAACGTACAAGTCGTGGTGCAAATAACACAAAATTATACGATGTCCGCGACCGTCGCAGTCAATTCATCAATTTGCTGATATCAAAGTGTGTGTCTAACGCTAAAGCATCACTTTCTTTATATTTGGTACATTTGGTTTATAGACCCTCTTGCATTATAGCGGCATGTTACAATATTCTATTGCATTATACAATAGCAAATTGAGGGGTGACTATAATAATAACGTGAATGCGTGGTGTCCCCATTTTTTCATGTCCGTTTCCTTTGCCAGAATATCTTAAGCACAAGTGGAATTACGTTTATTATAAAAATAGGAAGTGGTAAGAAAATGTGTTGTACATATACATATAAATGTATAATTTATATGTATATGTACAACACATTTTCTTACCACTTCCTATTTTTATGTACACTTTGATATCAGCAAATTGATGAATTGACTGTGACGGTCGCGGACATCGTATAATTTTGTGTTATTTGCACCACGACTTGTACGTTGAGAAATCAATAATACACATAACAAGCGTCATATCGTCGTAGTCTTTCAATGGGGAAACAAGACGAATAATCATGTTAGAGAATTTTCAGCGAGAATATAATGCCAATCGGGTATATCTGTCGATCATAGGCTTTTGGCCGTTTCAAACAAAATTCGTGAGAAACTTCTTATAAACTTTCTGCTTTCTGCTCAACATAAGTTATATTTTTTTCGAGGTAACACACGAATGAATCATATTTTACATCGAAGAAATACGTCTAATTTATGTTTATAATTTTTAATCTTTTTTTTTACATATATGTATATATAAAGCTTAACAGTTTTGTGTATTTTACATATCGCCGTATATAGGTCGCGATGCATAATAAAACCATATTACATATCTTTTGAAATATCGTTTATTAGATCCTTTTGCAGATCGACATGTTATAGTGTGTGACATGTTCTAATATTACATGATACCTACAACACAAAGTTACCAGTGATTATAATTATAATAATGTAGACGTGTGTGCTAATTTCTCTTTCATGTATCTTTCTCCTGTTTGCTAGAATTTTTGCCATTAATTTTAGACACAAACTCGATTTTGTGAACGTAAATAAATTTACCTTTGAAAATAAAAAATTGTGTATAAAAAGAACAATAAGTTTACCGTTTACTGAATGGTAAGCTCGAAAGAATTAATTTAGTGAGAAAGTTACAGGAAATGCAGAAAAAGAGCATAAATTAATTTTAAAGGTTTATAAAGTTAAAGAAAATAATGATATTAATATGGAAATTGTAATATTAATAATGGAAAGCAAATAGCATAAACAGATTTGAGTTTTATACAACAGTGTAATTTATAAAATAATTACTGAATAACAAAATATTGTGTTTAGTGAAAAAGTTTAGTAAAAATATAAGAATAGTGCAGTAAGAAGTATCTAATCGGATAAAATTATAACTCCATTATCGAATAAATATAGCATCGCAAATCTCCTTACTACAGTTGTCATTAAGTGACGAAGATATATCAGAAGAACCAAAGAACTAATTAGCATACATACAATCATCAGTCTTAGATTGATAACAATGTCGTATAGTAAGACATAGACATTCGCATTACCTTAAAAGGATCAGATAAATTGTTCATGTGCATAATATTATTAAAAAAGAACAGCTCTGTAATATTTTAATTACCGTTGCATAAGTCGCGATGGATAACGGAATCATATTGCCTGCCTTTAATTCGCATGGTGTTTTACTTCTGTAAAGAGTGATTATCAATAAAGATTTTAGTCTAGGTGAGAACTTGTACCATTCTGCCGCGTATCTGCAATCGTAAGTTGAATAACTTTAAGTTTGTTTTTCAGGAGATATACTTAATGCTTATACATATGTATAAAATACCGACACAATCATTAGTACGTGTAATATAGCAGTGTGTAATGTGTATATGAAAATAATTTGTTACAAAAGAATTTCTAAGATTACTTAAGGGAGATTACCTAATTTAAAAGATTATAAAATACTTAAATTATTCATGACTCCTATATTAATCGAATTATTAAATTACGTTTTATATCAAAACTATTTTAAACAGCAGTTAAATTAAATATTACATTTAAGAGATCTTATGCTTATAGTAAAAAATTATTGCTACATTATTATGTTGGAATAAAGCTTTATAAGCTCCACAATACGTGTGTTAAAGTATAAAATAATTATTACGCTCCATGAAATACATTCTGACTTTCATCCATTATTGTTTGGCCAGAATAACATGTGATCATCAGAGTACACAATAGTGCCATGAATAAAAACGCAAGTTTTAGTAGTACTCTTACTTGATTTGTTACGTAAATAAGCTGTAACAGATTAAAAATATTATGTAACTATTCGTAATATACAACTACATAATTATTTTAAATAAAAATAATAAACTTATAGTATGCAAATCTTAATAAGATTTTTGTAAAGGATTATAATGAAATTTTCAGTAATTTGTGTTAAAAAAATTGGACATATAAATAGACATTTAGTTAAAACCAATCTAATAAGTTTTTGACGAATGAAAATGTGAAAATCCAGCTATTACAATTTTTATTATTTTGTACAATTGATAATTTATTTATAGCATGTATTTTATATCAGAAGAGAGTACGGTTACATTTTTTACAAGGGGGAAACCGCTGAGGGCATTGTGGTGTACAGATTTGCGGCATTTCTGGGCATTATAAAGATAAAATAAGGTAAAACAAGATAAATAAGATAAAGTGATGCCCACCGGGCATTAGTGGGCATTGGTGCGTACAAGATTTTGGTCAGCGGTTTCTCCCTCGATTTTTTATATATGCAGTAATAGTACTTACTTGAATTCCAATCATATTCACTATTCCAATACTTAATAATAACATAATTAATGCATACGCTTGATATGATGAATTTAATGCATCAACAAATCTACGGAGTAGGGATGTTAGTAAATTAATTTTTAAGTATATAGTATGTAGTAATATAGTAACATCATATTAATATGTAAAAGATAATTAGGAAACGCTTTCACCAAAGTTGCTTACTTTATAGCATGCTGATATTTTCTCAAACATATTACGTATTCCCGGTATATTATTTTATCGCTTAACGAGTCAAGTTCCTCATTCATAGAATATTTATTTTTCCTGGTGCCATTGTTATTGTCTATTTTTAAAATGATATTTTCCATTTGCTTACTGCAAAATGAATTTTGCAGTGTTTTGCGCAAGTCAAATGCGGGATCTACAATGCGAGTCGCAGAGTCGTAGATAGTAAGAATAATCGACTGCGATCAATTCTGTTAGACACATAAGAATTGACAAATCATAGTCGATTATTCTTACGACTACGACTCTGCGTCTCGCATTGTAGACCCCGCAAAATATAATATGCATAACACATAGCATACAAGGTCCTTGATCGTAATATGGCAAAGTTGGTAATACAGGTATGTTCACTTATTACAGCTGCAGAAGACAGTTCGCACGGAAAAAATTAGATCGTGCTAATATGCTCTTTCTTACATGTTTTTAAGATATCTAAAACAACTGCCGTTCTATAGTATTGCGTGACGCTCTTATTTTTCGAAAGTTATGTGTTTGATGAAAGACACTTCTTTATCTCATTCCAGTAAATTCGCTTTTATTCTCACATTAACAGATAATATTAACTGCTATTTTTTTCTAGTTCGAATTAAACGTATTATCTATTTTTTTTTTAATTGCAATTGTGGGACAATTGTGAGGAATTACAATTGAACCAATGGTCCAAAGAATATTTTCCCATACGTAAATTTTGAGAATTCCATAAAATAATACCTGGAAATTTTTGCATACCTTAGCGCGGCCATATTACCATCAGGAACCTTATAAAGGGTGTTCCGTAAAGTGTATGTTCGGAACAGGGCTTAAGGGTAAATTCTTGAGATCATTTTAAGACAAAAATCTTAATACCAAAATACTGAGGCAACGATAGTTTTTTAATTAGACGAGTTTAAAGTTAGCGAATGAAGTAGCCTGAAATTCGCGCGCTCAGCTATCTGCCCTCTTGTCAATATCGATATCGATATTACGTATGCAAAGAGAATGAATTTGCTTTTACCACTATTTGCTTCATCTGCTTACCTAACAATCGCAAATAAACTGCTTGCATGTGCGGCATTTACTATATGCATTGAATCAACGCCTGCTACGACGTTCGAACTCACCAGACCTAATATGAAAATATAAAACCAAATTGGTAGAAAGTATTTATCTTTGTCCACCCTGAATTCGACTTCGACTGGAAAGAATCGCGGACGTGATTCATTAAGAGGTATTACGGCGTCTAGGAGTAGCGGTGTTAACGATGGCGTTACATTAATCACTAATGTGGTATAAATTAGCACTGTAATATTATAAAGAAGCAAGCTTTATTCCTTCAATAATATCCGAGATAATATCAATTTATAAAGTAGTTCTAGAGCCGAGGGGGAAACCGCTGACCAAAATCTTGTACACCAATGTCCACTAATGCCCAGTGGGCATTACTTTATCTTATTATCTTATTTTATCTTTATAAAGCCTCAGTAAGACCTAATGACCAAACTAATGCCCAAAGAATGCCTAGTAATGCCCAGTAATGCCGCAAATCTGCACACCACAATGCCCACAGCGGTTTACCCCTCGTGGATTTGTATTTAACAGAGATTCTATTGAATTTTATTTTGCTTTCGTAATATAGTAATTCCCAGTAACAAAAATCTGAATTTCTTAGTCAACTTAATTTTCTTGTAGTTGTACAAAATTCTTAACCATTTGTATATTGGTTCTATCGACATATGACGTTAATGCTCCATTCTTAGCAATATGCTTACTTGAATAATATTTCATAAATTTTTGCGACAGCATGGCATATCCCTTCGTTATTCGAATTTCTGTATCATCCGTCAATATATTCCAATGTTCATCGATGACTTCGTACATCCATCGCAACTGCAGATTACAACAGAAACGTGGAGAAACGATTTAACATATATCGCATGTGAAATAATTTTGCCGAGTTAAACACAATCAAAAAGGAATTGTGCTATCAAAGATAACACGATTGTGTACCTTGTCATAATTAATGGTATAATTCAACTGTCTTGCGACGAAAATAATTGAGATTAAAAGTTGAAAGCAACCGTCGAAAAACACTTGTCTATCGTCCGAATGATCGTACAATAATAATATCTATATCATGCAGAATTATTATTCTTAAAATATACATACACGTTATAGTTTATATGTATATGTACGATAAAAAATAATAGAATTATAACAATTTATCGAAAGTATTTGGAAAGTATTTTTTCATTTAGTGAAATGCGTCTACTAATACTCATTACCTCGAATGGATAATAACTTATTTGAATCGAAAAGGAGATGATCCATAGCAAATATTTCGGCAATTTATTTTGAAACGGCCAGAGACCTGACAGTGACAACAGGATCCGGTTGTTATTGTATTCTCGCAGAAAATGTTCTAACATGATTACTCGGTCTTTCCGAAAGAACTGCGACAGCGTATGTGCAATAGACAGCTCTTCATCGAGTCATTCTGTAGTTGCACCTGGCACGCGAGGGGGGCGAAATTATAGTATGTCAAGAATGTTAATCAATCATTTCATCTGAACGTGTATGTGTCTCGGAAGTAAATTTCCAGTATATTGCAATACAGCTTTGTGGGGTATTTTTACGATGTGACATTTGAGTACTATATAATATATCACGTGAAACAGAAAGTTGAATATGAGATACGCGCTGTAGTTCGTCTTCTAGTTTATCTTTTAGTTTTCTCCGATCGATTTCTTATTCGTTAGATGTTACATCTCCTTCCAAACGTTCTTGAGTGTATTTCTTGTGTGCTGCCAATGATGGAGATTTGAAATTAAGATATGAAAGAAGTAAATCGTAATTTGAGGAGGCTACTAGGTCGTTTTTTACTTGTATAGATTTTATACAATGTTTCCTTTATAAATAATATTTTTATTTGCAGTGTACATAGATTTCAAAATAAATTACAAGCTTTGCCAACTTATCCGAATCCGAATAATAAATTGAATATAAAAGCCAAGTATATTTTTTATCAAAATATCTGTAATATTTATTTAAAAATCTATAATTTATATATTGAACTGGACAGAGTTTCTTAGTGATAAATGCAGGACGGATGTTGATAACAGATTATTCCTCGTGCTTCTGTGACCGTTTCACAATCGACTTCTTCATTGGAGATATGCTTCTGCAATTATTTATACAGTATAACAAATCAATAATAGAAAGTGAGACCATACATTTAACTATACAAGTTCGACTATACCTTTTCTCCGGAACATCCCAGAGTATTAGAAAGGAAAATAAGTTCATCAAATTCGCATGTACACGGTAGACGAAAGACTAAGGGCTCTCGAAACGGATAAGATCGGACTCGAAACGGATAAGATCGGACTCGTCTAGCGGCGGAACGATGCCGTATGTCGCCCAAGGATCCTCTAACTCCCAGAGATCCGGCGGTAGATGCTCGCGACCGGGCGGTGGTCCACGTGGTGGACTTGGTGGGTATTGTTCCACATCGAAGAACCTCTCGAGCTCCTCCGGCTCGAAAGGAGGATGCTCATAGGGTACCTCGCGCCTCGGCACGGGGGTCTTCATCCTGGACACAAATGGCATGTCCTCCTCCTCCCCCCAGGATATATCGCCCTCGCGTAAGAACTCCTCCTCGAACGGCACGTCAAAGCGCAGATCACTCGGCAACGCTTCCTGAGCTATCCTCTCGAACTCCCGTTCGGTTCGGCGAGTAGCCTCGCGAGCCCTGATACCAGCCATGCTTCTTTGGGCGAATTCGCGAGCCGCCACGACACTTGGATGTTCTCGGCCGTATTCGATACGGAACATCTCGCTCTCTATGTCAGGGACTCTACATCAAACGTGGACATTGATTAAACGTGGACGTGTTAACTCACTCATTAACGTAGTTACGGAGTAAAAGTGGACAACTCTTCCTCCACTTCTCATCCGGCAATTGTTGGTACATTATTATCAGGGTTGGAAAGTATAATAACTCGTTACTTCCCACATAGCACGCAATATTACAGTAATATCACAGTAATATTACATTTCCAATGTAATATTACAATAAAATATATCGGAAATATTGTAATACTGTAATATTACTGATATATCACAATAATATTAAAATGTCCGCCCAATGAAATATTACCGAGATAATCGTAGTAATATTACTGTGATAATCGCAATAATATTACTGTGATGTATCACGTAATAGATCACGTAATAAAAACTGTAACTAGATACTTTTATAAAGCAACTTTCTCAACTCTGATTATTATCGTAGACGAGGAAGAAAGGAATTTCAATTTCTTTGGTTCTGTTCTTTCTCAGGTTGAATCTTCGATTTTGAACGTTCATTTATGTTAACACGACTAGATCGGTTTATATTTCTATCTCTTCAATTCATTGACTTTCGTAAAACTCGACTACAGCTAAGATTTGCATATATATATATCAGACAGCGTGCTTCAGCTTCAATTCTTTTTTGTTTCTTCTTCTCATGATACTCTCACCTCTGAATATATCTCTGAGTAGGTCTCTCTTCCTCCGCAAGTCTTACAGCGTTACCGCCAACATTTGCCACAGCCATCACAAAGTCCCGTCTTGCTTGCTGCAAGTCCTCCAACCTGCCCTGTACCGAGGCCGCTTCTGCAGCGTCTTGTTCATCGAGGGTCTCACTACCCAACAATATCCATGATATTGAAACATTGCATTACCGGTCTAAGAAATGAGCAAATAAAAGGGAATGCACCGAAATTATTTCTTGCACGAACAATGAAATTCCCAATATTTATCACGAGTTTAGCTTGTTAAATTTTAAGACGCACGTTGTTGCCGTAAAAAAGCAACGAAAGTGAAATCTTTTTTCACATTTCAAAGACAAGAAATGGAGTAAAAGAGATCCAGGACTTTCCGACTTTCATCTCGGGAATAGATTTCCTTCAGTCTATTTCTGTTCATCATGCTTTTTCCAAAACATGATTATTGGGATGCCCTCACACTAGTCACCTGATTACTCGAATCGAGCGGTTCGCCACTTCGGATGTTGCCACCTCGACGCCGGCTGCGGGTGGTTGAGGGATGCTAACGATGGTGGTGCGATTCTCGTTCACCGATCTCGGTGGTATCACAATGCTGTCAATCGGACCCTCGCCAATCGGTTCAGCTTGAACCACCTGAGCGTTCATGGACCTTGCCAGTTCTCTAGCCCTTTCCGGGATCCCCGGAAGCGGTTCCGGCGCTCTTCTCTCCGGTCTTCTTCTCTCTCGTCTTTCCGTTAACGGCCTTCTCGCTGGTCTAGGAGGTGAAACCGGCGGGGGCTGCGTCGGAGCGCGTCTAGCAGACGGTTGCCTCTCTCTACCAAATCTATGGAGACGCAAGAAAAAGTTGTAAAACATATTTGAGACGCGTATTAAGTTAAAAATCTTTTACAATTGCTTTTTCCCCAGCTGAAGTATTAACATACGGCGAAAGCCGTGCATAATTTTCGAAGGATCACCTAGGATCACCGCCGATCGGTGCAGGTGTCCTCCTTGGTACTCTTTGTGCCGGTCTGCTCTCTTCCTGTTTACGTTCGTATTCCTGCTTGAACCTCTCCGCCTGCTTTACCCGGGCTATCATCGCCTTCGTCATAGCCGGCTTGGAAAAGTCGACTTTCCTCGGCTCGGCTGGGACATATCGTCTTCTGCTAGGTACTGCTCGGACCGGCGGTGGCTGTTGCGCCGCTTCCTGTTTTTGCTCTAACTCTCTTACTACAGTGGCACTCCTCGCCTGTCGTAGTGCCTGCGTCTTTGTGAGACCGGGTTGAAGTCGCGGTCCCCGGCTCGCCATCATCGATGTTAAGTGACTCTTGATACGCGCGAGAATTAATATGTAATACCATTACTTTATTACAAACTGTGTCTAATCGTTTTTCTAACAAAAATGGAATAATCTTTCTGCCTTTAAAGTGATACACGTCTACATGATGTCTTGTAAGGAAGATGATATTCTAGTATTTCGACATTTTGTATTGCGATCGCTTGTTGCTATAAAAAACATAATCTAAAATACATAACGACCTAGGCTAGAAACTTGATTGCTTGAAAAGCGTTAAGAAACCTCGTGAAAATGTATTTTCTGAAATTTCCGAAGGACAAACTTTTCCGGTTAGCGCGACGATTTTTCTTAGCGCTCAAATAACGGATCCAGTATTTTTTCATGTTGCAAACGCTTGCAACAGTTAACGGTCCATCCCGGCAGGTACAACCGGCGCTTAATTAAGGCCGGGTAGAGCAATTTCCCATTATACGCAAGAATTTTGTATTATGACAGGCCTGGAAGGTTCGTGTGATTTAGTATGTGAAGAAATCACTGGTGACAGACGCGGCGGCTTTTGTTTAGTTTTCGTGAAAAATATCTCTTGGTCGAAAGGACCATCTCTCTGAAGTTGGTACAAGCGAGAGAATCCCCCGCGATTTTGTACCGAATAAAATTTTAGTTTTAATTATGTGATACTGAGGATTCGATCAAGTAATCTTTAAAATTTTACAATATCATGAATAGAAATTATTATAGGGTGGACACCGTGTAGAACCGAATGGTAAAGCAATATGTGGATACACAAAGTGAGTTCGAGTATTTACCATATTTTACTTTTTCTTTTATTTTTTCTTTTTATTAACTACTGCTTAAATAATATTGTCATAGAAATACTCTTAGATTTATGGTAATTATTTACAATAAATATTTACAGTTTTATTTAAAAAATGTATCGCTTAGTAATCAGCGGCGTTACTGGCTAGATAATCGCGACGCCCAATATTGGACGCCTGCTTATTCTGCACAGCCTCCAACTTCGGACACTCTGTAATCCTGTGTCCAAGTCCACCGCAGTAACTGCAGCCGCGTTCGTCTGCGATAGAACGAGAAAAACATCTTTAAGATTCCCTCACAGAACGTCATAAATTCACGAGAAGAAATGAAGGCCAAAAAAAAAGAGAAAATATAAGTTGTCCACTATTGCCCTACCTCCCAGATTAAGATATTTCTCATTCTCCGAGCAGAGTTCCAGCAAGAACGGTGGTACCTTTTGCTTCGCTTCCATCAGCAGATGTTTAAGGTCGAGTAATACTGATTCATCGTTCGCTTTATTAATGAAAGTTGTCGCTATACCAGTACGCCCGGAACGGCCTGTTCGTCCTATCCGGTGCACTAAAAATCATAAAAATATATGAAACAATCTGATTCGCGTCTCTCTCCTGAAATCGCCATTTTAAATTCACCACGATACATTACCATAATTTTCTACATCGTCCGGCATGTCGTAATTAATGACATGTTGCACATCAGCGAAATCAAGACCCTTCGATGCAACGTCTGTCGCAACAAGTACATCTTTACGACCCCCGCGAAACGCTTCTACCGAACGCGATCTTTCCTCCTGATCTGAAAGCATAGAATGAGATGAACGAATATATTACTCATTTTGATATTTTAATTCTGAAGAGCTAATAAAATTCGTCGGTAATCCCGTGATGATTTTATATATTTATCAGCTTACTAAGGTTAAATAAAATGTACTTGAGATATCGTGTACCTATTCCTCCGTGTATCGCGACAGCTTCCACCCCTTTTATGAGCAGATACTCGTGGATGGCGTCCACGTCGCGTTTCTTCTCTGCGAATATCAAGACCGGCGGCGCAGTCTTTTGCAGACACTCCAAGAGATAAACGATCTTAGCCTCTTGTTTGACATACTCCACCTCCTGTATTACATTCATCGACGCGGCACCAGCACGGCCAACGTTGATCGTTACGGGCTTCACCAGCGCAGAACGCGCAAAGTTTTGAATTCTTTTCGGCATAGTAGCGGAGAATAAAAGCGTTTCCCTCTGACCCTGTAACAGGCACAATTTCATCCTTTTAATAAACATTCCATCTTCCCACATTGCACAAGATGCGCGAAAACAATGCGAAACAATAATTACCCTGAAAAATGAAAATATTGTTCGCACATCTTCCTCGAATCCCATATCGATCATGCGATCCGCCTCGTCCATGCAAAGATAACGGCACACACTTAAAGTGACCATCTTCTTATGTAACATGTCCATCAATCGTCCCGGTGTCGCTACCATTATATGTACGCCTCTACAAATAGCATAAAAATCAAATTTCATAGGATTAAACGACCTACACAATTCTTTGTTCTTTTCAATTTTAATCTCTGACATGATTTCGCGAACGTCGTGTTGCTTCTCAATCAATTTTACCTTTCTTCTAACAGAAGTGTAAATCTACTTGACCAATATGTAAGTTTTTATTGAACATGTTAGTTGAGTGTGTTACATTATAATGACTTTCCTCTTGTCTCTACTCAGTTTGTCACAGTGGAATGGTATTGGCCAAACGATTGACTAATGACACAACAATTATTACTCAGGTATGAATTTATAGTTGATTTGCGATATGCCTTCAGCATTGCTTTATAATTTGCAATTTGCGATTTCAGATCACTTGAAAAGAGCCCAAATCCGGGGCCGAAACATTGTAATCGGTTTTTTAATAAAAACATTGGCCAGTGTAGGTCGTTTAATCTTGTGAAATTTGGTTTCAAATTACTGGCGATATATAATCGCCACTTTTATTAATAGTAATATTGTGACATATGAAAAATAGAGATATCAAAGAATATACAATTAATAATAATAAGCAATACTAACTTGTTGATTATGGCTAATGACTCTGAAACCGGCACACCTCCGATCGCCAAGCAACAACGTATTTCCGGACAGTCCATTTGCCTCAAGCAACTGGTGTAATGCCGAATTATGTCAAAGGTTTGCTTAGCCAATTCTCTCGAGGGACATATTATCAAGCCTACAAATATATTAGTAAATATAATTAATATAAAAATGTACTCGTTATTCAAGTATTCTTGTACCTATTAGTTATTGCAAATGTTTACCGTAAGGCCCCTCCTTTTTAATGAACGGCATATCGAGTTCTTGCTCCAAACAGAACTCAATGATAGGTAAAACAAACACCAACGTTTTACCGCTACCAGTGGAAGCTATACCGATCATGTCACGACCAGATAATCTGCAAGTATTTAACATTTGTGTTTAACATCCATGCAATGTATCGTATAATCAGTTGGCAGTAACCAGAGACTCACACTGTGGGTATTCCTTGGACTTGGATCGGAGTTGGCTTGACGATACCCTTCTGTTCCAGTCCGTACAGGATTCCTTTATGAAATTTCATCTCCTTGAAGGTTTTCAAGGGTGGCGGTACCTCGTCGCCCTCCACAAGTATCCTGAGCTTCCTGCGTACTCTCTCGTGACGCACCTCGCCGAGACCAAGTATCACCTTGGGCGGCTGCCAACTGGTCTTGATAGGATCCTTATATTGAATACCCTTGGCCAACTCAGCCACTCCCATCAGGGCTTTATTCTCAGCCACGCTTTCCAGGATCTTCTCCTCCTCCTTCAGCTGCTTCTCCATGGCGCTCTCCTTCTTGGCTGTCGCAAGAGAAATTCTCAGAGTTAGTCTCACTTAAATTGCAACGCTTCTTTGCTTTAAGGCTCCGTTCGCGGGGCTTCTGTACCTTCGGCTAATTTCTTCAATTCGGTGTGCTGGTCGAGAAGAGAGATGTTGGACTTCCTTCCCCAAACCTGTCCATCGTCGTTGTCGGCATCGTCCCTCTCGTTCTCGCTGCTGCTCTTGCCAACGCCATTGGCGGCTTCCTCTTTCAACTGCCCGAGCTTGCCTAGTCTCACGAGCAGCTGCTTTTTACGATTCTTGGCAGATACGTACGGCTCGTAATCGTCATCTGTGTCCGAATGACTGTCCTCCTCCTCCTCCTCCTCTTCCCGTCTGTACCTCTGTATTGAAAACAATTTGATACACGGTATAAAGCAGGGTTGGACATGTATCCGTAAACTATAATAGTCTAAACAATGCAAACTATGGGTCTGTTCTTTATAGCTGAACTAGTGCAGTTCAGCTATAAAAAAAACAGACCCTTTATGCAACCATGAGTAATCTCTGGAAAATAGTTGTCGAAATCGAAAACTTTCTTTATACTTCGTTCTTTATGTAGTTTATAATGTTTATGTTTATTGCGTGCTCTAAATGTAACTTCTCATTATAACGTCGCTATTATACGCACATATATAACTTCTTAATTTTTAACATAAATATTTTCTTGCACGCTTAACGTCCAATCTATAAAGTTTGCATAATTTACATTGTCCGTAAAACAATAAGTTGGCGGAAACGTCAAGTAGACGTGAAATTTACAACATTGAGTACAGAGAGAGTTGGGCCGGTTGGGCCACAAGATACCTGAAGATTTCAAGACTTGATTGCATCGTAAAGTGTGAAAGAGAAACCCGTGTATACACGCAACAGAAACTAACCTTTAACGGAGGTTTGTTGCTATCCTGATTCATTGCGAAAATATATTCGTGACTGCCGGCGACTACGATGGAATTGTAGAATGCTACGCCGCGATATATCAAAGCACTATATTTACTCGTGCTCTCTTGTTATTTTGTCCGATTAAAGTTTCTCGCACGCTGCATTCGACACACCACACAGTAGTACACGGCGGAGAATACACGGGAGCCACGGGAGGGGGTCTGTTCATTTCAGCCATGGACGTAAAATACAAGGCGAAGCAATCTGGTGGATGCGCAGTGTCAGCCAATCAGAAGTGGCCCAAACTAGCAAATCGACCAATCAGTAATTTGCCCGAACCTCTTCAACTGCCAATCATTGCGGTTGAATGCAAGAAGAACCAATGGACAATTCGCCCCAAAAATTGGTCACATGCGCAATGTTCACCTTGTATCTTCACACCATGGTTTCAGCTGTCAGCGTTGCACTTTGTTGCACTCTGTTGCACTTTCTGCACCTAGAACGAGTAAATTGTTACGAGGTTACTTTTAATCCGTTTCTTTTCAATTGAACCTTTCGTACTTAATATTTTTCTTTTCCCCCCCTAACGTCTAATTATGTCTACGTTATTTTCAGCGCGAACAGTGTAATGCAGCGCAGCTAAAAAGCGCAGAAATACGCCCGATCTTTGGAAGGAGCGAGGGGGAAAGAGAGAGAGAGAGAGAGAGAGAGCGAGCGAGCAGAAAGCTCAGCTGATAATGAGCGCGTACGTTTATTATCGCTTCAACTTTACTGGGAAATACTTAATTTCCCGCTGCATTTCGGTGATTGTAAGTTGAGCGTAAAATAAGAAGCGATGTCCGCCGGTGCGGAACGCCCGGCCTCGATGCTGTTTCAGGACAGCCAGTACAATTGGACGGACGATCTGCCAGTTTGCAAACAGTCCGGTACGTCTCGCATTGTTGTTCTAATGTCACCGACCCGGGGACTTCGTTCTTGCTGAAATACCGCGTGCGATATTTTTCGTGAATAGGCGTTTCGAGCGAAGTTGTTGAAATTGTGAGGACAAATTTTGTGTGATGTTCCACAGGAGTGGGTTTCTCCACCAATCAAATCTACCGAGAGGACGGGTATCGACAGGAGGAGCATTCGTTTGAGGATCGCAGCTTTCACTGTAGATACGACGACTCCACGTTTCTCTATGCTGTGTTCGACGGCCACGAAGGCACCAAAGCGGCCAACTTCGCTATGCAAAGGATGGCTGCGGAGATTCTACTCGGGCAGTTGAACGGCAAGTCAACTGACGAAGAGGTGAAGGAAGTGCTCCGGTAAGAATTTCATTGGTACGAGTTAGACTTGATGCAAGAAACAATTTGAACCAAATAACTTTTGTTTGAAACGTTTATCCGTATCTTTCATATCTTTGGAGATATTTGCGTGGATCATTAAAAGTGAGAGGTATATGCTGTAGTCGCGAGTAAAATTCTTACTGTAAAGTATTTGTTCTACAGGCAGGCATTCATAGCAGTCGAGAAAGGATATCTGGAGTCCATTGGTGATTTGTTAGCGGAACGGACTAGTCTGCAGTTCGACATACCTGATGGACTGACCCCTTACGAGACCTACCAAAAGTTTCCAGACTTGGTTAGTAGCGTAGTAGTAAAACTGTGCAGCTATACTGTTTTAAATCATTATTTCATGAATGTATTACAATTGATTTTTCGCAGGTTGACAAGCTGAACGCGCTCAACTGCGAGCTATCAGCCGGGACAAGTGCTGTGGTCGCCTTGGTCTACAGAGGGAGGCTGTACGTCGCGAATGTTGGAGACAGCCGGGCGTTGTTGTGCAAGACGGACAGCAACCAAGTTTTACGAGTTGTACAATTAAGCGTAGATCACGATTTGAGAAACGAGGACGAGCTTTTGCGACTATCTCAATTGAGTTTGGACGTCGAGTCAATCAGACATGGTAAGTTTGATGTTTTTGACTCATTTGATGGCTTTGATAATGAATTCGGATAAGTAGGAATATATACTGCAGGATCTCATCTTGGAAATCAGGAAAACACGCGTTGCCTGGGCAATTACCTCGTCAAGGGCGGATACAGAGAGTTCGAAGAACTAACAGCTTCCCTGGCGGAGCCGATCATTGCCGAACCAGAGATCCACGGAAGTATCGAATTAGACGAATCCTGTAGATTTTTATTACTTATGTCGCGCGGTCTGTATAAATCGTTGGAGGAAGCGACCGGCACCGATCAAGTCAACAAGGAATTGGCCTTGAACGCTGTCGAGCAGGTAGTTGACTCTGACAAATCTCGGTTAAACACTCCTCGTTCAATTACCTCGTGTAAATTCATACTGAAATGTTTGTGGTGCTAGTTTCGAATACAATCGACTCTAACCGGAGTCGCCCAAGCGGTGGTCGACAAGGTCGTGAGGATTCACCACGATGTAAACATGAGCAACACGCAGAACACCATGACCACCGGCAAGCGCGACGACATAACTCTTCTGGTGCGAAACTTCAACTTCCCGCTGCCGCACGCATTGAAGAGTCCGACTAGCCAATCGGTCAGATTCAATCCCGTGGTGCAGACGGCGCCGATCAGCATACCGGACAACGAGGACTTGTCGAGCACCAGCACGGGCGTCGCAGACGACGTCGACACGTCGACGACTGAAACGTCAACGACGTCGGATCTGTATCCGCCTGGTGCCAGGATAGCGGAGCGAAATGCTAGAACGAAGCCTTACGTAGATTTTTCCGAGTATTACGAGAACGTTGAGAAGAGAAGGAAAGAGGGAACTCTACCGGAAGGCATAGACTTCTAGCGTTTCGTCTGTCTAACAAGTATTGAAAATATTCGATTATTGACTTCAGCACATTACGGCTGTGTTAATATACGCGAATGTTCCTACCACTGCAGCTTATTTGTTACTTTGAGACTATTCTTTATCATTAAGATGTAAAGTTAATTAATTAATGACTTAGCATTGTTGTATTTTTGCTATATAAAAATTTATTATCCGTAGGGATAATAAAATGTGGAGGCTTGGACTTTTACACGACTTGTATTTACATATCACAAGTGTTACAGATATTTCGTCGGGTTAGATTTCAAGCGTTCGAATGCGGCCTTTTCGAGACATTCTCTGTGATCGGGATGCGCAATTTGGATCAGTGCGTTCGCCCTTTGTCGTAAGGTTTTACCGAAAAGATCCGCCACTCCGTGTTCGGTGACTATGTAATGCGCGTGAGCTTTTGTTACCACCACTCCGGCCCCTGTAAAATAACACGTCGATATCATAGATTCGTTAAATAATCGAGTAATAAAACGCTTTATCTCGCAGCGTCTGTGTTCGCCGGATCTGATCTCCCCTTCGTACCGAGTTTCAGCACCGGTTGTATTTTACTCTCCCCTTGACTAGTGACCGAGGGGAACGCGATGATGGCTTTCCCACGACCGTCCTGACTGATCGCCGCGCCTCGAAGAAAATCCAGCTGGCCGCCGAAGCCGGAATATATCTTACAGCCTAGACTGTCCGAGCACACCTGGCCAGTGAGGTCCATCTCGATGCAAGAGTTAATGGCCGTCATCTTCGGTTGCATCGAGATCACTCGGGGATCGTTTACGTAATTGATCGCTAGCATCTCTAACGTTGCGATAATTGCAATTGTGAGATAACGCGAGAGCGCCCCTTTTTGTATTCAAAATCGTACAAAATAATCCAATTGGTCACAATTACCAACGACCGGATTGTTGTGCAGGAAATCGTACAATCTCTTCGTGCCGATGGCGAAGGAGCTCACTATGCGTCCTCTGTGCCTGGTCTTACACTTGTTCGTGATGTTGCCGTGATGGATCAGATCGACCATCGCGTCGCACATGATCTCGGAATGTATGCCCAGGTCTTTGTGATTGACCAGGGAGCAGAGCACCGAGTCGGGGATGCAACCGATACCGAGCTGCAGCGTCGCTCCATCCTCGACCAGCCGCTGCGCGATGATCTTACCGATCTCTTGCTCGAGATCGTTGGGCGGTGGACAAGCGACGCAGGGCAGAGGACAGTCGTACCTCACCGCCCAGTCAAAGTGACTCGAGTGGATCAACGTGTCGCCGAACGATCTCGGCATGTGCTCGTTTACTTGCGCTGAAAGAGAAGACTTTTTTAATGATATTAAAATTAAGATATTAACACCATAGTAAGAAATAATAATAATGATGGTTAATTGATGCCTTCCAAGTTTCCTGATCAGCATACAGTTTAGGATAGTTTTGTCTTATTACGATTATTATTATTCATCATTGTTATTATTAATGCGGGACGGACCGATGAGGACTTTCGCGGTGCAAATCGCAGCACGGGTGCAATCCGCGCCTACGCCGAGCGAGCAGAATCCGCGCGTGTCCGGCATGCTCACGTGGATCAGCGCAATGTCCGGCACAATCCTTTTCTCAAAGAACAACCTCGGCGTCTCGTGCAGGAATACCGGGATGTAGTCCGCCCGTCCCTCGTTCACTGCCTCCCTGAGACTAGCGCCCACGTACAAACTGATGGACCTGAAGTGCTCTTGAACATCGTCGCGGACTTGTTACTTACTGCTCGATTATCCGGGATCGTGTTATCGATGGATATTTTAACTATCGCAAATACCGTACTCTCAAATTCCGGATTGGCGAACGGTGTATCCCCCTCGAGACTCATATGCACTAATCTGACCCCGCGCAAATTATTGCACACTCCGTGCTCGGTCATAGCGCGCACCAATTCCATCGGCGTAGCCGCACCACCTTGTATGAAAACCAAATGCTCTGAAAGAGAAAACAGTTTATTTGCACGAAACGTCTGTTTTACAGCAGCATTCATAACAATGCAATTTGCGTTCGCTATATTATAAAAAGAAAAGTTTTAAGCTATTGTATATTTTTTATTCAAACATTACAATTTAAAAATTAGGACAACTGGGTGTTAAGACAGAAATGTGCGATATACTAAAATTCAATAATTTTTAGATAATTCTCTAAATTGGTTTTTTTTTAGATTAAAAACATTTCTGGAGAACAATCATTCTTTTCTATGCGGAAAATATAATCTGAATATCGAGCTACTAAAACGGCTGTAAATACCTGAATTTATGATCTTTACAGCATCTTCCACGCAAACCCATCTTGGACACCGTTTTAAAGGTTCAGAGGGTTCCCTCAAGTTTTGCATATATCGTCGTTCACATAATTGAAAAGGTTTCGCGTGTCTAATTTTTCCCAACACCAATTTCAGATTTCGGAACATCTTCTCACCGCCTCGATGCCGTTAGGGCCAAATCCACAAGTTCTCGTTGATAACACAGCAGTACAACGTTTGTATAAAAATTTACACGATACATAATCTAAAAGATCTCGCTGGCCACGTATGTCTAGCGAAGCGGATCCGTTGTCACTTCTACAAATCGCTATTTGAACATCTGACAGTTATCGATGTGAATCTCGCGCATTTTGAATATGACTGCAAACGCAAATATTGTAATTATTTATTAAAAATATATAAGGGGGCAAAGAACATATGTAGGAGAGGTACAATAAAGTATCGACAATATCAGCGTTCTCATTTTATATATTTCTTCTGCGTACTACTATTTCAAATTTATTATTACAATGGTAACACGAAAAATTATATAAAGGAACGTTGGCAGATTTAATATAAAAAATGTTTACGTCTAGGAACAGCGCCGGGTTGCACCATTTTTCTGTTTAAATCGTGTTCAGAGGCGCGAACACGGTTCTTCTCGCGATATAAAATACACGTGGCTTAAATTAATATCTATGTATATGGAAACAAGTGCGATTTCACATTACGAACTCTTACATACAATGATACAATTTAACGCATTAAATTTTCTAGTTCATATTTCTCTCTCTCTCTCTCTCTCCCTCTCTTTCTCTCTCTCTTTCTTATTCTAGAAGGCCGACGAATTGTCTTCCAGAGAGCATGTACAGTATTGTACAAAAAGACTCTTCGCGACACTTTGATGGTTGGCTGTTGTGCATGACTAAAGCACAGAGATGCTCGATTGTAAAGTGCTATTAAATATATTTCCTATTTCGTGTGTTTTCGGTTTATGGAGCAGGCATCACTTTTAGGCGTTCGAACGCCGATTTCTCGAGCGCTTCTCTGTGATCGGGATGAGCCACCTGGATCATCGCGTACGCACGTTGCTGAAGACTCTTACCGAATAGGCTGGCGATTCCCTGTTCCGTCACGACGTACCGCACCACCGCTCTGTTGGTGACTACTCCAGCACCTGTTAACACAGTATGACAAAACGATTAATTACGATTTATTTCATACATTTGCAGAGTGTTGAAACGAATACGAAAATTAATAATTATAAAATCGAATTAGAAATAAATTCCTGTTTTAATTGAAGAAATGAGAGTGCGTTGTAATATAATTATACAAGTTAAACTGGGACACCCTGTATAGTAATGTCATGTCATATACTAAATAAATCTTTAAGTTTCATAAATTAAATAAAAAATTTCTCTCAAATTTTTTTAGGATAAAATATTGAGTTTAAAAGAATAAAATTCCGCCTTTTTCATTTAAAGAAACAAGTTTTCATGTATCAATATTATGTTTTATGAAAAACAAAGATTATTTCGACAGTTGTATCTGCGTACCCGATGTCAGAACCGGCTGTATTTTGCTCTGGCCCTTGGCGGTGACTGATTGAAGCGCTATGATCGGCTTTCCCTGCCGATCTTCGCTCATCGCGGCGCCCGTGATAAAATCCAACTGTCCACCGAATCCGGAGTACATTCTCGTTCCAATACTGTCCGAGCAGACCTGGCCGGTGATGTCCACCTCGATGCACGAATTGATGGCCGTCATCTTTGGTTGCCTGGCGACTATTCTGGGGTCATTAACGTAATCTACCACCAGCATTTCTGCAAGAGATGAAAACCGTTGAGTGAGCAACTTCGATATTTGTCAGTCAGCGGTGATTTCAAGCAAAACACGACACACAGACGACATTGACCTATGAAAGGATTGTTGTCCATGAAGTCGTAGAGCTTCTCCGAGCCCACGCAAAACGAGCCGACAATTCGGCCCCGGTGCATCGTTTTCTGATTATTCGTGATGCAGCCCTTGTTCACAAGATCCACCACGCCGTCGCTGAACATCTCGCTGTGAATACCCAGATCCTTGTGGTTACCCAGCAGCGAAAGTACGGCGTCGGGTATACTGCCGATGCCTAGCTGCAACGTGGCGCCGTCCACCACCAGATTCTCGGCGATGTGCTTGCCGATCAGCTGCTCGGCCTTGGAGGGCGCCTTCACCGGATGAACTGGCAGTGGTTGATGGTGTTCCACGGCAAAGTCCAAGTGACTTTCGTGAATGAGAGCGTCGCCGAACGTCCTGGGCATGTGCTTGTTGACCAAGGCTGCGAAAATTTAGACTTCCTTTCAATTCTATCCGCCAAAAGGGAGTAAGTGGTTGTGCGACACTTTCTGAGATTTACCTACGACGCGTTTGGCCTGACTCACGGCGGACCGAGCGCAATCTACGCTCGTGCCAAAGGAGCAGTAACCCTTTTCGTCCGGCGGAGACACGTGGATGAGCGCGATGTCGGGTTTTAGGTAGCCTTCATTGAAGAGACGCGGAATCTCGTGCAAAAAGATAGGAATGCAGTCGGCGGTGCCCGCGTTCACCGCGGGTCGCACATTGCCGCCGATGAACAGGCTGATAGACCTGAAGTGCTCTAAACATAAACGTATCACATAAAATTAGGTAGGGAGGTTCTGTTCTCGTGAAATTCTCTAGTTAATTCAGAATAGATGTTCTTTAGCAAAAATCTAATGCTATTCTCTTTCGTAAAAATTTAGCGAACAGAATTTTAAAAGTCTTAACATTCAGAGGAAGACAAGTGTCTAAGATATAATGTACTTGTAATTTCACAAGAAACTCAAGTTTTAAATACGCTCGCTCGGGCGGAAAAATTATGCAAAACGCGCGGTTGAAAGGGACAAAAGTCGGGCGTGCGGAGCCAGCTGTGCGGCGCAGAAGTGCGTCAAGGAGCGAAGCAAAACGCGCTGAATGGCGAGTTGTTATTCAAGTATTAAGGAAAACAGCAAGTGATGACGTGTACGAACGTACTTGCGTTTTCCGGCTTAGCGAACGGCGCCGACCCCTCGAGATGCATGTGATACAAACGGACATTCCTCACGTCGCAACGTACCCCGTAGTCGGTCATCGCCCTCAGCAATTCGACGGGCGTCGCCGCCGCGCCCTGGACGTACACCACCTGATCTGCAAATGGAAAAGAAGAGTTTAGAAAACATCCCCTGCGCGCAAAAATCGAGACTGTCGGGATAAAATTAATAGCGAATTCGGTTGTTTGCACCAATGCGCACCAAGACTTGTTCACAGTCCATTTTTATATTTAAGGATCGTCTTAAATACCTCGTGAAATATTTCTTATCCAGAAAAATGGTCTGTACAGCGTTCAATACGGATCATTTTGTGACCAAATACTCTTTGAACATGTACTTAAGACAAAGTTAAATATAAGAATTGACCAGGGTTGGGAAGTAACTCGTTACTTTCTCTCCATCTGTAACTGTAACATAACTCACAATCAGTTACACTAATAGTTACATTAACACTTTATATATGTTTTAAAGAAAGAAAAAGAAGTCACTTATAGTCGCCAGTGATGATTACAAATTAAAACAGTGAGCTTATTGTCAACCCAACTGGCAAATTTCTTTATTTAACACATTGCAACCTTACTTCAGGTCCTTTTCAAGTAACTGCAAATCAACAAAATATAAGAGATTTTTTATCTTACTTGAAAAGGACCTGAAGTAAGATCGAAACAATAAGCTCACTGTTTTAATTTATATTTTAAACCTCCACAGCAATGTAGTAGGCCTTGCATTCGCACATAAACGCCTTTATCGACGCTTTACAATTCAAATGCAGATTTGATTTTTTATTTTCATTGCAAGAAAGTAACTGCAAAGTAACGATTCGTTACTTTTTAAGTAACTGTAACGCGTTACTGTTAAAATTGGTAACTTGTAACCGTAAATAGTTACATTTTTAGCGAGAAAAAAACTGTAACTAGATACTTTTATAAAGTAACTTTCCAACCCTGGAATTGACCATGCACAAGCCTTAGGGCCCGTATTCTGAATCCTCTTTTATCGATAAAAGCGCCTCTAAAGCCCGTATCAGACTACGGATTGGGATTGGGATTAGATTGAAATTTGACCAATCAGAGTAAAAGTTACTGAACTTAAGATTAGTAAACTTTACTGTGATTGGTTAAATTTCAATCTAATCCCAATCCCAATCCGTAGTCTGATACGGGATTAAAAGTGGCTAATAAGCGCCTTCTAATTGGCTACGAGCCACGGGCCTTAGTGTGCACTAGTGCAAGCGACCGAATTCGCAATAAGTTAAATCGGCACGTGAGAAACCGAACAGTGAGATTTCACAATCCACTTTCGCGGCATTCAAGTCTTTCCGCGTCCTGAAATAACATTTACATCACGCCGCGACGACGCCCCCGTCATCTTTCGACCTCGCGCTTTAACGTTATCTCGGGGTCCGGCAAAAATTTCGTATTTACACAGATAGACACGATGTGTACTCACGTGGCTAATTTTCATTATACATAGTTTTAATCGTAATGCAATTTGTACAAGAGTGGCGAGAGCTTATCGGCGCATTCTTTCAGTGATGAACGAGAGTCAACCTTTCTCAGAATATTACTATCGTATGCATGTATCGTATTATTGTCGAACGTTACTGCTACATGTAATAATCGCATTCAATTACAAAGGTTAACGGGGAAAAAATTCTTTTACGCTGCGCTTCGATAGGAAACAAAACGTTCGAGGACTTTTGTACTTTGGCTCCCACGTCAATAACGCTGTAGATTACAGCACACGAGGCCTAATGTTTACACGGTTCGTCGTAAAGGATGCCGTAACTATCGGTTAAATACGATCGGTAAATATGTTTGAGTACTAAATATTTATTTCGCTCGCCCGTGTTATCATATCAGAACGCGCAGTAGAATCAATAACCCCCAGGTTGGATAAACTGGTACGAAAGTTGTTACCGAACGTTCCTCCAGTACGAAAGATAACCGAACGCTCCTCCAAGCGATTCCAGTATTATGGTTAATTTTATCTACAGAAAATATTTATTACCAAATCGACGCCGCTGACGAATGGTCGGCGAATATTCTAATCGGACGCATCTTATCGGAATTCTTGCTGAGCACGAGAATATACATATAAATTCTCGCGTTTATTATTCCTACGTCGGCATTACGTTATTCGACACGTTCAAGGATAACATAATCCGCAGCATCCGCTTATTCAATATTTTACGTAATATCGTACGTAATTTGTCGAGTTTGAAAGGCAGTTTTATGCCCCGAAAGTACACAATTATATAAAGATTACTGTTTAATTGTCCCGTATAAGAAATGCCTCTTTTTTTAATCTCGAATCTTATCAGAACGCGATGCGCACACCCACAATGCGTTAATTATACTTGTATTAGAGTTTATCCCTGATATCTACGTCAAACAATTTTTACTGCGGCTCGAGTCTTTTTTAATGGAAGACACCGCCGACAATTTCACAAACTTGAGGTACCGCGAGGCAGATTTGGGACTGCAAATATAAACGTCTCCAAAGTGCGTTCCTTCACGTAGAGCGAGCATCTTCGCGCAGGGGGAAAATGTTTACACTCGAGGTTGCATCGACTCGAAATAATCTGGCTTACTTGGTGGCAAAACGCTAACTCGGCGAAACTTATAATCCGGTTGACCGGCGGCGGGCTATATTTAAGCGAGAACTAGGACTTTGATATTTACGTATGTACACGTAAACGCGTATCTGCACATTTGCATGTGCGTGTCGAGGTCAATGTTGGCGGTCCGCTCTAGTATCCTCTAGTATCATCTACACAGCTGTCAGCGAATTTCTTCGTCTTGAACTGGAAAAGACGAAAAGTATAAAAGGAGTAAAAAAAAAATCTATGAGTCATTTGTATGTAATTCACGAGATCGTTCAAAGGACTCGCGCTATTTGAAGAACATCGTACCCCTGACGAGACAGATTGGACGGCACTGAGACTACCAAGGACACCTCACGACGGTCTGACATCATACGAAATCGTACGTCACAATAAAAAAAAACTGGTGTGTCGTTAATGCGAGGCCTAAAAATAGCTCGGCGCGGCTTACATCTACATTTATGTAATATTCGTTCCACACATCCTTTTACACGTGTCGAAATTGGACGGAATATTAGTACGAATTGTGTGGAGAAAACTAGAGAACAAGATTAGTCTCTTGAGGCCCGTGTTCTGAATCCTCCTTCATCGATAAACGCGCCTCTAAAAATGGCTTGTGGCCAATCAGGAGGCTTATTAGCCACTTTTAGAGGCGCTTTTATTGATAAAAAGAGGGTTCGGAAATACGGGCCTGAGCCTTTAGCAAGTACATCTCGTAGCGGATTATTAGTATAACGGCGAGGAATATTTTCAGCTGCTTGACATCGGTCGACCGTCAGTTGCCTTTATCAGCAGAAACATAAATTACACGCGCGATGATCGTACGCGCTGAATCGATGTTATCGAACGCTCAATTTGCATAAGCACACTGTGCATACTCGTCAAGCAGCGTTATTTTGCACCGATTTTGATAATCGTCACACGAAGCATGAATGGCTATCTACTAATATATAAATTGCCGTCGGTTGGAAACATGTCACAAGTATTTACATAGATAACAATTTCCACCTTCCTCTGACTGAAATATTTTAAATCAAGTGTTCAGGATAATTGTAACTTCTCTATACAAGTTCACTCATTTCAGTTATTAATGTGTCTTTAAATTTGTGTCCAAAAACGTGACTCCAAGGTACAATTATGTCCTCTTGGAAAGAGACAAGAAGTGAGTTAGGCTGACCGGGTTTCAGTGAAAACATAGACGATAAGGGGCTAGTGAACCAAACTAGAAATGCTAGATAAGTTCATGAAAGATAAATCGTGGGGGAAAGCTGAGGACATTGTGGTGTACAGATTTGCGGCATTGCTGGGCATTACTAGGCATTTTTTTGGGCATTAGGCCTTGTTGGGGCATTATAAAAATGAAATAAGATAAGATAAAGTAATGCCCTGGGCATTAGTGGGCATTGGTGTACAAGATTTTGGTCAGCGGTTTTCCCCTCGAGACAAACTAACGAGAAGAGAACTGAAGAACAAGACAAACGATTAAAGATAAATTATCTTCGATAAACTTATATCTAGCGTGCGCATCTAGTTTAGCGGCTTGTCTCTTACTTTTTGTCTCTATTTATTTTTTACAATTTTATTGACACATTTGCGCTTGAAAAATGATCTTTCTTTTTTGCTTAACTGTTGTCGGCTGCTGATTTGCATACGAGGCAAATAGGCATACACGATAAATAATAATCTTAATCTCCGCGAAGCGTTACCAATCTTAGAGGACAGGAAAAGCGTACACGTGTAAATACGTGGCGTGAACGACGAGATAAATAAATAAATCGCGCTCGCCGTTCGGTCACGGGCGCGTTTATCCGTAAAATATTGTCTAGGCGAAGGTCGTACCGAAAATAATGTGCCGCGGATCCAAGGCGACTTACTAAGTTTATCTCGAGTCGACACTGGCAATCGATTATCTCACAAGTGGGGATGACGCCCGCGAAATTCGGTCGAACGCAAATACGCGTGACGTATCGAGCGGCCAAATTTTTGCGAGGGGCTGACAAACGTGTATTTGCCGAGTACAATCAGAGTTTCTCTCTGGTACAATCGTCGCGATATTCAATAAGCGCGTCACGAGTCGCGATCGTTCGTCCGTCACGAGAACTGAATATCGTGAGATGCGTGAGTTTTACAAAACGATACAGTTGCGAGTCATTTAAAACTTGTACGGACTGTGCAAGACATTCTACGCGCTTTTTCTGAAAATTATTCTGTGGAAGAAAACCGCAGCGTTTGTGCTCGACACACACAATGCCAGGCAGCAGGCAATAGGAATAGAATTTTTGACGCGTTGGATTCGTCGGAAAGTTTCTTCCAACCAATCCAACGCGTCAGAAATTCTATTCCCTGTTCCTCTCGCCTGTTGCCTGGCAGTGTGCTTAGGCCTTTACGATGGAGTTTATACAAATAACGGCTTAACACAAACATTTACAAAGCAAGGTCGTCAACTACGCGGCGCGTTACTATCTCTCGCCGCATATATTTAACTCAATTGCAGAGGCGATAAGCGGCTCGCTAGGAAGGAAGTCCAATAAACGTAATGGACCGCTCTTGCAAGCCGCGTATGCATTTCGATCGTCCTAGATCAATCCGATCGCCAGGCCGCATCTCGCTGTTGAATATTCGGAACGAGCTGAATACAAGAATATGGGAAATACAGATGGTACGGAAAGCCAAATGCAAACAATATGGGAAGGTTTGGCACCGCAAAAGTAAATTCTGTCACGCGTGGAAGGGACAGCTGGTACGTCCAAACACCAGACAACCACGAGGCTTGTTTTCTGTCGCTACACCGACCAACTAGTGCGATAAATTGGAGTAAGACAGGTATTTCTTCTCATTCTACGCTCACTGCCCTGGTTTCACCGGCGCAGCGATAGAAGACAAGCCTGTAAATATGTCGTAACAGATCCCGGAGAGTCGAGAATCGACCTGGGCTGTGAGATATCTCTAATTCCCGTAAGCAGATGAGCAACGCAGAGATCCATTAAGTCTCACGTCACCGAGATTTACTGGTGACATTTGAATACCCGGCTGCGCCAGCATTCCGTGCGATATGAAGCAATTCTCTCTCCCTTTCCACCACAGCCCCTCTCACCTATGACACAGACAGAGAAAGGAAATGGACATTAGGGGATCAGCTAGGCGGATTCAACACAGGTAGGAATCGACTGGTGATCTAACGTCCGGTTGATCGGCCGACGAAATCGTTGCGACGCACCTCTCTCCTCTCTCTCTCACTCACTCTCTCCCCTCCCTCCTCTCTCTCTCTTTCTCTCACTCTCTCTCTCTCTCTCTCAAGCCCGTCGGTGGAAGGTCATCGATTACCTGAGTCGAGTTGAGCCTGCTCGATGGCCTCGTCGGCGGTCTTTACCCAGCAGGGCTCCTTGCTAGGGATCGGCATCGACGGCTCGTTCACGTACGTGAAGAAGGTCTTCCGCGTGGCTCGCTGGATGCAGGGCCGCGACGCGGACGTCATCGTCGCGAGCGCCCGGGTCAGGCTGGTGATCCGCTTGAGGGCCGCCATCGCTTCCGTGTTCGATCACGTTTTTTTTTTCCTACTCGGCCGTCACCAATGATAATTGCTTTCCCGCGCGGACGCGCACAGCTCGACTGATCCGACGACTCGCGACGAGGTGTCAGAAACGAACCGCGCGCAGTTCGCCAGAAGAGTGGGACACCACGACTTGGAGTGAACGCGCGCGCAGCGGCGCGAACGTAGCGCCGGATCGCGGGTCACGTGGTCGCAGCGTAAAGCCTATCACACAATAGGAAAGCACAGGCAATAGGAACAGGGAATAGAATTTCTGACGCGTTGGATTGGTTGGAAGAAAATTTCCGACGAATCCAACGCGTCAAAAATTCTATTCTCTATTCCTATTGCCTGTTGCCTGGCATTGTGTGATAGGCTTGAGACTGGGACAGGCACGTGGTTTCAAAATGCAGATGATTGGATAGCACGCCTATTGCCAACGAATCATTGTGTCTTGGCATTATATAGGTTTCTATTCCGTATTTCTATCCCTTATTCCTATTGCCTGTGCTTTCCTATTGTGTGATAGGCTTTAAAGCCCGTATCAGAATGCGGATTGAGATTGGGGTATCAGATTGAAATTTGACCAATGACAGTAAAGTTTGCTAATCTCAAGATTAATAACTTTCACTCTAATTGATCAAAATTTCAATCTAATCATCAGGGGTATCAGATCGAAATTTGACCAATCACAGTAAAGTTTGCTAATCTCAAGTTTAATAACTTTCACTCTAATTGATCAAAATTTCAATCTAATCTCAATCTCAATCCGTGGTCTGACTACGGGCTTTACGAGTGCTCGCGACCTCGCGAGAGGTCTGCTGCACAAAGAACCCAAATTAATTCTCAAATATTAAAATACATTTTCAGAACTTTTTATGTCTGGCAAGGTGGGTTCGGACCCGAGCTGAGCCGTTTCTTTTCGTGTCTCAGGCCGGTATTCATAGTCCGTTCTTAACTTCTTATATTTAAGATCATCTTGGGTACTTTCCAGCAAGAGACACGTACAGATTGACACAGTGTAACACAGATAATTATATATCCTTGCTTAATAATGGCAAACAACAAAGATAAAACGATTTTAAGCCAACGGCACACGATACTATTTTTCCTACTGAATCGCTCACGATCATTAATTTTTGTCAGTAATTGTTGGAACAAAGATTAGCTATTAAAGAAATAAAATAGGTAAAAAGGCACATTCTTATCAAGTTTTTCAAAAAATTATTTTGAAAGGTATTTTAGAACTGACACATAATATTTGTATTTTACCGTGAATTGTATTTTTTAAAGATAAGGTTAGAGAGAAACAGTCTCAAGCCCCTCTTGTGCGCATGAGCGGAGGAGAAATGTCCAGTTATTATGCATCTCTCTCACAATCAGTTGTATGGGATACATTGGTCGCGTTCAGCAGACACAACTGTTGAGTGAGCGCTCAGTATGATTGGTTAATACTTTTAGATCCAGCCAATCATGTTAAGAAATCACTGAGCGCTCACTCAACAGTTGTGTCTGCTGAACGCGGCCATTCTTTCATCGCGATGCGCAGTCCATATATTATAGGTCCATGTATTTGATACGCGTATCAAATGCACGATGAATACCGGCCTTAATTCTTTACGGTTAGAATTACAAGCGCAAAAACTATATTTGACTGTGTCGCTAAAAAAGATGGCTGAAGGATTCTCTTAAAGTAGTAAAAAGACGTAATAGAACGAGACTGGTATCTTTATTTATTGCGCATATCCTCGTTTACAGGGGAAAAAAACCAACTGCAGCTGGGGTGGCGTCCAACACCTTTTACCATCAGAGGATTAATTATAGAAGCAATTCTTTCTGTCACATCTATTCTCGTGAGAAATATCGCTCGAACGTCATCGATCCCGCAGATTAGACCTCTCGGCCGGTGTCGCTGTCTCGACGCAATTAATCCGACTGGCTTGGAACGCATATTCGGCGGCGCGCTCACGTGGCGCGCGGACGATCCGTCGATCGCGCTTTGAAAGAGGCCGCCATTTCTCGCCGGCGAGGAAACGTCGGGGGACGTCGCGCGGACCTTCCCACGTCCCCGGATCCCGCGGTTGACAACGCACCAACGTCGACTAACGTCCCCTTTAATTTCGCGCGCCCTCGCCGCCGTCGAACGCCGAGCTTTCCGTCGAATCTCGTGCGAAAAGAACGTTCAACGAGTCACCTAGTCCGAGCCACGTGATTGCACGTGCCTCTTCCATCCTTCTCTCACCCGTCCTCCCCCTCCCCGCCACCGCTGTTATTTCCCTCTTTCTCTCTCTCTTTCGAAGCGCGTTATCCGCGTCGTCTCTCGCGGTTTATTCCGAGGGACGCGATTTACTTTAAGACGCGAGACCCGGGGTGGCCGCTCCCGAGCTCTCCTCTCGCAATTTCCGTATTTCTCAGCCCCTTCCCCTTCACGCGTCGAGCCGTTTCTCTCTCTCTCTCTCTCTCT